TGGCCATTCAAACAGTGAGACTGCAAACAGTTGTGCTCAATGATTGAACCAAAACTTAGTAATATGGTTATCTATCTTACACACTTAAATATACATGCAGTTATATCCTTTAGAGCACTTTCTTTTCTCCTCTTTTTTTTACAATAACATTGCATATTTTGGGTTTTATTACTCCCACAGTTCTTACTACTTTTTTTTTTGAAGAGAATAAAACGAAATGTGGCAAAACAAAACACAGTCAGTCAAAACAAAAGGATGGACATAGTACATGATGTAAAAACAGAATACAAGGTGATCAACAATGGTTACCATAATGCCTCTTGCTTCAAGTCAGGGATTGTGATGCCTCCTTCCTTGCCTTTGCTGCTTAGAACTGTCTTTGCTATTCTAGGTCTCTTCTCGCTCCATATGAATTTTAGGAGTGAATTCTCTAGAGTTGTGAGGTACCTTGATGGTATTTTTTTGGGATTGCATTGAATGTGTATAACAGTTTTGGGAGAATAGCCATTTTCACAATATTTATTCTTTCTATCCATGAGCAAGCAAGGTAATTCTAGGAACAGCCTGCAAGTCAAGGACTCTAGTTCTGTCTTCTGTCAGTGTGGGAATCCCGACATAAAATAGAAATTCCTGTGGCTCACAATCAGAATCACTTGATTTGAGATCTGGAATAAATAACTAAGGTGATTTTTACTTTCACTAAATTTTGAGTGCTACAACATAATACACAGAGAATGTTCATCAAAGTGAGATACCCCAGTAATTTTCCTATGATTAATCCTATCTTGTGAATCAAGTGGTTTGGAAACTGATTTGTAAAAGATTTTTGGAATTCGGCTTTTGAATTTTATAAATAATGCTCTGTATATGTTGAATGCTGTGTGGAAATCATTCTTACTTTTTTATTACTGAGGAGTGCTTTGTTTAGACTGAAGTGGAATGCATAATGCTAGATAGTGCACAGCACTTAGAATGTGATGTATTTTCCTGTACATTTCCTCTTCCACTAGAGTGCATTTATACAGGTTATACTGAAAGTTATCAGCAAAGGTAGAATCTGTAAGATGTTAATTGCCAGAGAAAATTTGAGAAGAACACTTTGGATTCTGAAGAAATAGACACTTTAAAAACTTTATGGGACAAATGAATGAACAAATCTATTTATAATGTTTTGTATTAACTCACTTATTCTGAAAATAGTTCTCTACTAGTTCTGTGAAGGAAAATTATAAAACAGCTGTTAATTCTGAGAAGTGATTAGGAGATCTACCCACTTACTTGGAGGGGGATATATGAGCACGTAATATGAAGAGTGTACAGAAATACATATAAATTCAAATATACAATGTTCTACATGAGTGTATTTAAAATACTGAGGAAAAACTATAGTGTGGGTATCTTCAAAATACTGAAGATCACAAAATGTACTGTGCTCTGAAACTTTACAAAACTATAAATATTCTAGAGTGTATAGCCAATTTTCCATTGTTAACTACAAATACCACATAAACTAGGCAAGTTTCAAAGAAAAGAGTGGTATCTTGGCTCACAGAACTGGAGCTGTCTTGGTTATTTTTCCTGTTGCAGAGACAACATACATGACATCCAAAGTCAAGGGAGGAGAGGTTTACTTAGCTCACAGATTGCAGACAGTACAGTCTATACTTGATTGGCTCTAAGAAGGGCTGCTGGCAGACAGGGATGGCAGGGGAGAAACAGCTTGTGGTGGACAGAAGAAAGCAAACTAAAGCAAGGGGGACCACAGCTCCTTCTGTCCCTTATATCTTATCTGGAGGCTCAAGTTGGGTAGCACTCACACCCTTATTCATAGTGCCATAGGTCCCAGTATTGCACCATGAATCAATCCTACTGTTACATACTCTGGATCCAGTTACCTCTGAAAAAGTCCCTCCTATGACCACAAGAAGCTTTGAGGAGACACCTAGACACAGCCATAACAAGATCCAAGGTCAAAGGGGCATATTCTGTATCAGGTTTTCTTGCTGGCGAGTCCCAACATCAGGAGAGACGAGGAAGTGTACCTATGCGCGTGTGTGCATTCCGTGATCTCCTGTTTCCTCTCCTCCTTTCTCTCATCCCCGCCATCCTCTGTCTCCTATTCCTTCTCCTCCCTTCTCTTCTCCCCCACTCTTTATAAGCAACCTGTTTTCCATTGTGGGAAATCTACCATAATTATCTATTTAATCACCTTCAAAAGGCTTCATTTTTAGATAGTTAGATCAACTCTTTACTGCCTTAACATCTCACAATGGGGATTAACTCTCCACATGAGTGTCAAGGAAGACAAACCTTATCAAGCCATAGGGAACCACAGTAGTAGCTGAAGACATTAGACAGCACACATCACCAGAGGAATCTGTTTATTCGAATACGTGTCACATGGCCAGACTGCATGAGGGAGAGGTACAAAGGCACACGTCAGAAGAGATATTCCTTCAAATAGATTCAGGAACTTCAGAGCTCTGCTGCCTACAGAGTAAAATCATAATATATTTGCGTCAGAGCAAGTCAGTTAGCACGAATGGAACGATGAAGAGTCAGAAGAAGAGAGTGAGACCACGTTAAACAGCCGAGTAAAGGGGAAAAGAAACCACAACTCTCCTGAAGGAAAGAGGATGGAAAATGTCACTTAGGTTGTGCTCAGCTGTGCTTAAAGCTGTTAACACACAGAGAAAAGCCTATATCACAAGGAGAAAATTGCTAATTTTTATTCTGTTAGGTAATTTTCTTTTAGAAATGTACAGAGGTTAAGCATTTGTGATTAAGTACATATCAGTATTCATATTTTCACTTATTTAACAAAAAAAGAGACAGTTAACTTGATCATGTGTTATGCTGTGTCCCTCTAAATGCTGTACCCAGGGGCATCACCGAGGAAGCTAAAGAGAAGAGCAAGCCAAGCAACACTCAGTCACAGCATTTGATTACAATTTACAAAGTCAAATAAATTCCCATGTGTCCATGCTAACATGCATAGTGATTGAATAAATCCTTGATCACTACCGAGGGACCACTCTTTGTAGAGAAATAATCAAATCAGTAAATGTGAAAACAGAATGAAAGAAATTCAGAATTTCAATTAGTGATTCACCACTATAATAATAGTAGAAAGACCTGCCAATGGAGACCCAAATCAGCAAGTGAACATTTGAAAAGAAACAGGCTATAACACAGGCTGAAAGTAACTTTACAAAGAAGAAATCTGACGCTTCATTGACTAAGAGTTTAGGGTCCATATCACAAGGAATAGGACCCACTGACAAAGCTACTCAATAATATCACATATCGGGAAGGACATGGCATCACTTCTATGGAATTCTTGCCAAAATCTTCAGAAGTTTGATTTAATAGAAAATACTAGGCAAACCCAAATTCTATGACATTTTACAAAATAACTGATTAGCTAGGTTAGGAGTCAGAATTGTCAAGATTATGAAAGACAAGAAAAGACTAAGGGATTCTCAGTGATTGGAGGCTGTTAAAAAGTCTCTGGGACTAACTACCATCAGGAACACTGAATTATATTCTACAAGAAAACCAGGTAATCGAGGTGGGGGAACTGAGAAATTTGCATATGATTTGTAGTTTCCTAATTAATGTTAATTTCCTGCTTTTCATAATTGAACTATGAAACGTAGGCACAAGGTAAATGCAAATTTTATTGATACTTGAATTTATCACCTGGAAGATTGAGTGAATGAAAAGCATTTGTCCCACACAGGAATAAGTCCTATATGAAAGTCAGGAGGGAAATTAAAATATATTTGCAGACTATACAGGGGATCTAACGTGAATAAATGGCATTCCCAAAGGATAAAAAGGGCCAAGTGAAACAATACTTGCATGCACAACGCATGAAATTTTCCAGGCCAAATGAAGCTTTGTGCTGGTGGAAAGAGCTCACGAGGTCCTCTGCAGAATATCAAGAAACACAAATGTGCACACACACACACACACACACACACACCTAGGAACAATCTGATAAAGGTTACAAACTCATAAGCAATCTCACAAATTTTGAAAAACAAGTAATAGATGTAGAAAAAGTATAAAAAGTAAGAGATGTGAAAAAGTAGTAATAGATTACTACTACTAAAGATGTAGAAGTAATATCATAGGTACTAGAAAAATAGGGCTATAGAAAGTTTTCCTTAAAATAAACACAAAACCACAACCTAATGCATCCAGATAATTTCCTGTACCAGACACATTCCATCACGTTGTCCCAGGTACATTCCTTATAGTATTATGACTGCTCAAAATTCTCATTTAGTTTCTGTTTCTGTTTATCATCTCTCCTCCCCCAGTAAAGTGTAAGATGCCCAAACTGCAGAAAACTCATTTGCTGTGTCTTACCTCTGAAAACAATAAATATTAGTTGACTGACTCCCTGTTTTAGGTTTTAAAGTTTAAATTTTTGTATGGTAGTTTCTAAGGAGGAAAACAATATTTTCAATTGGTAAATATGGCTTTTTAAAAAATATGCTGTACATCTGATTTTAACCAGACAAGTAAAACTTGACTGCATTCTTGACTCAAAAATAAAATTATTTTAAAAGCCTATAGAAATTCTATTCAATATTCTACTCTTGTAGAACAAATATAAAAAGCACTGTCTTATGTAGCTGTTAAAATATACTTTTTTGTTATAAAAAGCAGTGTCTTACGTAGCTGGTAAAATATACTTTTTTGTTATTCATCATTATAGTTGAAACATTTCCAATGTGAGAATGCATTTTCCCCTAAAAATGTAGATTTAAATATACAGTTGTATGTCTATATCCATGGGATATTTGTTTCAGGATTCTGTATGCTGATCCCGCAAATCCGCAAGTGCCTTGTATAAAGTAACATGGTATTTGCATAGAACTGACAGGTATCTCCAATATGCGGGATTGCTTATGAGACCTACTACAATGTAAATAGTCAATATACTATATTGTTTAGAGAATAATGACAAGAAAGAAAGCCTCTACATGTTTGGTGTTGACGTCATTTATTTAAAAACAATCTTTGATCCCAATATTTGATCCCGAACTGAATTGGTGGGTGGGATCCAAGGTATGGAAGGCTGACTGTGCATGCACGAGGCTGCTGTGGCAGTGGACAGTTATTTCTTTGTTTTCAGCACGGTGACAAAGTTGCTTCTGTGAGGCTGCTTAGCAGGATTCTGGGTGTTGAAGGTCAGCTGTGTGCCAGAGGATCCCACAGTGCAGTGTATGTGAGCTCGGAGAGATGCTCTCCTGTGCTCTCCTCGTGTAGAGAGACAGGGGCACTCAGGAGGGCAGGCATGGTCCACAGAGTCTGAGCACCCGGGCCAGAATATGTCTGAGTCTGTTCACTTAATGCAATGAACATGAAGCTAGTAATTCCTTTTTTTGTTCTGCTTTTATTGGAAGAAATCCATTAAGCCATTCTACAACCAGTGTTGAGATTTCCAAGGTTAATGAACAGAAGTCCTTACTGCAGCCTAATTAGCAACAATACATTGAACTCTTGAAATAGTTGCCCCCACAGAAGGTGATGCCATCTCTCCAAATTTCGGGATTCTTTTTAAAGAAATTCCGGCCAGCATTTTTATTATTAGGTATAAAATGTGAAAGAAAATGGAGTCAAAGAAATATTCTTCAAATGCCTAAGTACAACAAGAACAGCCAGGCTGCCTCAGATTTATGATGCTCAGGATTACTTAAAACATAGCACTCAGGTGAGCAGCACACAAAACAGAGCACCTCAGACAGAAACAAAACAAGATGCTGCTGAGGATACAACCACGGTGAAGGGAAGAATATCTCCAGCCTAAAACAGTTCATAAACAAAAGAACCTCGGGACTTGGTGCCCAACAGGATTCGGGTCCTGTAAATAATTTCAACAACTGCATGATCTCAGGAAAATCACTGAACTCCTGAACCTGTTTCGTATTTGCATGACTGGAATAAGAAGTTCATGTGGCTCCTATTCATTGAGAAAAGTAACATTCAAATCCCTTAGGACAGTGCCTAGCACACAAGGTGAAGTCAGTAAATATTTAACACTTACTATCTTTTTAAAACAAGAGACAAAATAAAAATTTCATCTATGCCCATATAGGTAAAGGGAGAGTAATTGTGCTATTCTGTGACTGTACTTGGACAGTAGTCTGACAACACTTGAACGTACAACAGATTTTATTCTTGGTAAACAACTAGTATGGAGGGTTCCTTATTTGTTAGGATATAATGAATTTAATATTCTGGCATTCAAACCAGTCTCTGTTCCAACACTAACTAAACTCATGGGAGCAGGAGTTGTCTATCTGAAAGGCACAGCATATTTCTAAGTACAGGTTGTAATTAAACTAGGAAGGGAGACAAATGGATCATAGACATTTCCTGTGCTGACCCTGGTCATTAAGGAGACATGCCGGTGGCTGTGGAGCATGGCTTCTTACCTGACAGCAGGATGCTGTGTCAGCTGGCAGGTTTAGGTGGGATTGTAAAGTATCAGAAAGCTTTTAGCAGGACCAAGTCTTTAGATTGGATAATTGTTAAGGTGACTCTACAGGATCAATTTTGCCTCTAGCTTCTGTTATTTTTATGGGTTAAGTCTTAAAATCTGAGCAGAACTCATTTCTAAATCCAGGACACACACCTCCTGATACTGACTCCAAGCTCTCTCATAAATACATTTTAATGATGTTTTAAAATTTGAAATATTATGACCTCTATCAGTTCATAGCCTGACCCATTCTTATGGAGGCTTTCGTCATTTCCAGAGAGATCCCTGTGTCACTTTCAATTAACCATTCTAACAAATTGTTTTAGTTAACCTAGGCAATCTCAGCGCTAGTTGTGGAAAGCCTTAGATTGGATTTTTTACTAAAGGCAGAGAGTTATTTATCAGTTGTATATTTATGGCCACTGCATGAGCAGACTTGGAATACTCCATGTGGTGTCACTGGTTGTCTGTGCTTTCACCATGGTGATGACTACTGTGTTTCTCAGGGTTTGCAGAGCACAGCTATGTGGACACAGCACTGGCAGGAGCACAGGGCTTCACGGGATGCTGTCTGCAGTACAGCTCAGCCACGTGGCCCCTCTGAAGGCTGCCCTCCGCCCCAGCCACCCAGCACCTGTCACCATTCCTGGGCATGTGACCGAATCCAGCTGTGTGGCCCCGGCTGGCACTGATGCCACATCAAGGGAAAGGACACATTCATTGCAGGTGATTTAAACCTTTGCCTCTACCCACTCATAACCTCACCAGTCCATTGGATTGGGGAAACTTCTGATTTTGTTACTATGCTGCTTTCTCAAGATGGCCTCTTAAAGTTGATTCTGTTTTGAGTTCTCATTCTCATTTTTTTCTAGAGTCTTAATTTCTGATTCATGGTTCAATTTGAAAATGATAGAGATTCCATTCACTTCCAGCACCATGTTCAGGCATAAAATATTTATGAATCTTTCAAAATTTCTTTCTTGTCCTTAGCTGTGTCACCTGGGTCCCTCTTTGTGACTTCATTGCTGATCATTCGGAGCAGTGGATGGGCAGGAGCCCCTGACTAACGTAATCAAATGTTACTCGGCAGTAACTGGAGGTAATGAGAAGCGTGGATGGGTTCACCTAGGTTTCTCATCGTATTGCTGGTAACTGTGAATATTTAATTTTATATAAATGTCTCTGAGGAGCCTACTCACTTCGCAAGTGCCAGGCACTGAGTTGTGAGGTCAACTGACTGTGTCTACTGGGTTGTCTTATAGGATCTTTCTGGATTATTGGCATTCTTGGAAATTTTCAGTATAAATAATTGACAGTCTCATTGGAACACCATATTCAAGGAATGATTGCAAAACTGTAAAAATGAATATTAATTAGACCTGAAATGTCCAGTTACAAGCCCTATGGAATTCTGAATACAGCTGAGAAAATGTCATTTTCAGTTTCCTTTGGCGTGGACATATGACTGCTCCAGCAAGAGCTCCTGCAAAAAGGAGGAACAACATTAACACGAGAAGCTTATATTTTGTGTTGCCTTAATGCTTATTAACCTGGGTATTTTAAAAATAATGTTCAATATCAATGACTATTATACCTTTAATTTCATTTTTATCAGATATTGGGTTAATGGACTAAATGTGGTTAGCAGTAATTTCAAATTGCAGAGTTAACACAGAAAACTTTTAAAGTATTTCTCCCTGGTAATGTGAAAGCACAGACTTTGTGATGTAATTTATTCAAAACCAGCTCTGGAAATAAACCTTTTCTCTTCCTGATTAATGCTCATAAGAATGTTATTAATCAAATTATTGAAATGTTAAGTGGTTTAGCTTTTTCCCACTCTGAATATGATATGGACACATATAAAGTAAATAATTATTTTAATACCTTGCCACATAACGTGGTTATTTATCTATAGGCAACTCATGTGGGCTTTATACTTGGTCCATTTAATTCTGTTTTTCAGGCTCTTACTCATCCAGATGTAGATTTTCTTCATGTGTTATTATTTTATTCAGACAGTGAATGTTACTTGTCAAATATTTTTGGCCTTCACTTTGTTTATGAGCCTTTTCATCACTTTGACAGAATCCATCAGAGTAACAACCTACAGGAGAAAGGTGTATTTGGCTCACAGTTTTGGAGATTTCGGTGCATGTTTAGCTGGCTCCTTTGGTTTCAGGCCTGTGATTAGGCAGGACCAGCATGGCAGAAGGGTTTGGAGGAGGAAAGTCACTCCCTCCTGGCGGCCAGGAAGAGACAGTGAGAAACCTCTCTGGAGACTGCTAGCAGCTCTTCTCCTTCCTTTACTTTTGTTCCACTCCAGCTGAGGGCAGCGCTCTTTCCGTGCTCTCCTCCACATTCAGGGAGAGTGCCCCACCAGCTGACTTCCCACACGCCAGTCATCGGTGGAGACTCTTGAACTGTGCTGCACTGATTTCCTAGGTGGCTCTTAATCCAGTCAAGGATTGAGGTTAACCGTCATGATTATTCCTGCTCCTTTAGTTTTCCTCAAATCTGTGATGTTCAAATTAAGGATGTGTAAAATATAATTTCATTTAATCACCTGGCAAGTAGAAAAGCTACCTTGCATGCATACTAGTTAAAATAATCTGTTGTTTAATAATTACAGAGTTTGTTAGAAATATGTAAAAAATAGTAAACAGTAAAAACCCTTTTTAAAATTTTATTTTAAAAAACAAAATAGCAAAGGGATAGAAATGATACACAATTTTAAAACTTAGTAGGAAATCAATACCAGTTAATATATTGCATATTATTATCCTAGAAATGGTTGTTCAGGTTACAAGATCTAGGCATAAAAATGATCATGATCGATCAAACAATGACAGTACACACTGTTCCATTTGGTACACTAACAGTGATTAGTAGTATAGTTATCTATCTTGTACATGTACACATACATACATTTATATATGCACATCTACATTCATATAATCTTTTCCTTTTCTCCTTTCCCCTATCCCAGCTGTTCTTTCCTTTTGAGAATTTTCTTTCCCTTGCATTATTATAATATCCATGTTGGTGGGAGGGCAGACTGTTGCAACCACTATGAAAATCAGTGTAAGAATTCTTAGAAAACTATGATTGGAAGTCTTATTCAATCTAGCTATTCCACTTTTGGGTATTTTCAAGGAAAAAAATGAAAATGTCATGCCATGGCAATATATGTGTACCCATGTTTATAGCAGCATGATTTGTAATAGGTAAATCTTGGAAACAACCCAAATGCCCATCAGTTGCCGAATGGATAAAAAAATGTAGTATTTTTATAAAATGGAATATTACTCAGTTATAGAAAAGAATAATCTTGAGACTTTTATAGGTGAATGGAGGCAGTTTGAGACCATGCTCATGAGTGAATTAGATCAAACTCACATTTATAAATATTGTATTGTTTCCCTAGTGTAAAAAATAATAAAAATAAAAACCTGAAAGGGTAATAAGATCCAATAGATAAAAACTCTTATAAAGCTGTAGGATTTATACAATGTGCTCAACATTTTAAACTAGGATTCCTATCAAACAAGCTGTCACACAATAGTGCCTTTCCATGTATTCTTGTATAGATAGAGGTAAATATAGATACCAAGATAGATATAAATATAGAGCATTGTATAGTCAAGCCAATATTAGAACAGAATATGTGATTCTTACATTTTTGTTTTGGGCAAAGTTTATGTCCAAGATTTATAGAGTCAAGGGCTAAATATGCTGGTATGTCATTCTAACATTATTCAAAAACAAGTTCACCCGTGAAATTCTTACTTGAATCAAATGTATTTCAAATGCAGAGAAAGACAGTATGGAAAGTTCATGGCACAAGTTCTCACCAGGGACCATGGAGACCATAGGAGCAGGGCCATAGAATTTCCATCTCAGGGACTGAGCTGCAGGAAGCCGAGCAGCTGGCAATGGCCCTGTGAGCTCGGAAGGCCTCGCGAGTTGATAACTCCCGAGTTCACACAGTGTTCCTCCTGGGGACAGGCCTCACCCTTCAGAATATGCCACAAGCACCTCACGTGCATTTCCCATTTCAACACACAAAACATTCAGAAGACCTGCAGGCAAGAGTCGATGTTTAATACAATGAGACATCTTTACTGCTGCATTAAGGATGTCCTTAAATGAATGAACAGGTGGCTTTGCCTGGCAGTACAGTGCCCTCAGCTTCATGAGTTCTGTGACTAGGATTCCAGCTTGGTATCCTTGCACTAAACTGTGCAAAGTACTGGGAATTTTACCTGCTTTATTTTATATCATCAGCAGAAATTTCAGCACATTGTTACAAAATGAGATTTCACCCTTGGGATCCTTCTCCAAGTGTCCTGAGGTTCACGAATCACATTTTGAGGACAGCAGACACAATGTAATGCCAGAGTTAATTATTGTAAGTATTTTAGATACTATTGAGAATTGTGGTACTGAAAAATTGTATTCTTTGAAACAAATTTCAAAAGCTCAACATTTCTCATATAAAAATAATTTAAGTACATCTATGCATTTATATCTATGATTTGTTAAAGAATGTTCATACAACTGACCTACTGTTGGTATTCAATACTGAAACAAATAACTGAAAACCTATTTTATAAAATTTTAACCATAAAATACAGATAAGCCTTTTGACATTAAACCTTTTGCTATTTTACTGTTCCTAAATAACTTCAAGAGAATTAAGGCTTATCTACATCTTAACACCTTGTCTTAGAAACTCGCAGGTAATATTCTGTGTTAAATATAAATGTACAAAGTAGAACTAATATAATGTACATTCAGATTAAACAGAAGGAACATATAAATTGATAGCAACCAAAAGTAAACTCGATATATTGTAATGCTGTTTAAATAGCTGAAGTTTTAATCTATCCAGTTTATGTGTAGTAGATGCTTGATTCGAGTGGAAAAAATTGTATTTTACAATTGAGTAAGAGATGAAGTCAACACAGCTCTATTCCGCCCAAAACTCTGACTTTGTATTTCTTTTCTGTTCTCTCTCTAGGTTTGATAGCTGTTGTGATCTTTATCTTGCTTTGCATCACTGCCATAGCCATCCACATTTATCAGCAGAAAAGGTTATACAAGAGAAATGAGGCAAAAAGGTCAGAGAATGTAGACAGGGCTGAAACTGTTTTGAAAAACAAGCATAATATACAAAACGCAGTGAATGAGTATCAGAAAGAGGACTTCTTCTGATTGGCAGCTGTGATTTCGCTTATACCGATGAGAGTTTGTTTTAATAACCAGGGCCTTTGCAAATGGACAAGACCTGCTCTCACACTAAATGCACAGGCGATGGATTTGCAGCGCTGCCCTCTTGCCCTGTCCAGGCTGGGAACACTCCAGAAGGCCTCATCTAGTGACAGTCTTCTCATGGTGTCACTATGCATAGCAAGGAATTAGATACTGCTGTTAATTTCCAGCTGTTCTCACATGATCGGAAGCCGGTTTCACTTGCTTAGTGACTACAGTTTTTAAATGTGGAAACTGTGGTCCTGGTCTCTTAACTGTTTTGTTAGAGATAAAAAGTACAAAATTGGACTATAACGACCTTGCTTTGTTTGAGAACATATGCTGCGTTTGCTTTAGTCTCCCCTGGTGTTGTTCATAGACCTGGAAACGCTCCTAAGATCCTACTTGGCTGGTGTTTGCATCTTCAGTGGCCAAAAGTATATGAAGCCCTTTTGCCTTTCTCTGTGCTACGCTCAATACATCAGAAGTCTGGAAAAATGTCTCGTTGTCTTTGGCTGGTTTGTACTGCTCTTTTTCTATTTGACTCTTCTTAATGATTTTGGATACATTGGTTTTGAGTGTCTGACTTTAGCTCTGAACACACAATTCATTTGTAACAAGACTCCAAGTGCAGTGGCTGTCCATTGTGACGTCTTACCTTTAAAAGCTTTCTATTTTATTATCATTGTTTGATGGTGACAGTAATTAAGACCCTGAGTAATTCCAATTCCAAAGACTATAAAATGTTTTCAATTAAATGTGTTGATCATATAAAAAATAATTCTTGACACAACAAAAATTATTTTTAATTGCAACTGTAATATCTCAAATGAAATACACTTCTGAGAATGTTTTCCCCGAACCTTATGTCAGTTGTTTTGTAGGTTTGTGTTTCTGATTTTCTACAGTTTACCATCAGCTTTTCTTTGGTCTCCCATGACTATATTCCATGTGGTATCTTCTAATATATTAGAAAAAAGGCAACAAACTGAACTATAGAGCCCCATTTCCTATGCTAAAAATTCTAACGTATGTACTCCTTCCTGCATGAACTTCCAGTACACATTATTTGAAATATGAGCTGCTACTATGCCCCTTGTTCTGTGCAACCAGTAACCAAAGAAAGGGTGTCCACTGAAGGCAAAATAGCGTATTATATAATCCACACCAAACCCCTCCTTCCAGTCACTTCTCTTCTAGAATGCTGAAGTTCATTTCTCAGCAAGTACCAACAATCAATGAGATCCACTAACTAGGGCATTCTGACTAGAGTGCACATATCCACTAGGAGATTGAGGAATTATCAATAGCCTTACAGAGCTGTCACAACTGTTAATTCTGAAGCCATGTAAACACGATACTTGCTTGGAGCTGTCTCTGGATTCCATGAGACAGTTAAATAAGAAAGGCACTTTGCTGTCCATGCTGATACCTCCAGGTGCCTGCAAGTGAAAGTTAGGTTCCTTTGCTTGTATGTACCAGAAAATTTGGAAATATGTGCATTCACCATTACTGTCCTCTAATTTTCTACAGTTTCTGTGTTAGCAGCCCTTAAAAAACTTGTCTGTCTTTCTCATAGCACTGTACCCATGTTAATGTTTCTGTAATGCCTGACTGAATTTGAAGGACATGAATTAGCATAACAGTTCATGAAGGACTTATGTTGGTAAACAAAGTACATTTTGTTTTAAATTGGCAGACCTGTGGTGCCAAGGGAAAGATCTAACATAGAAACGGTAGGGTTTACTCAATGTAAAGATGAATGCATCCACCATCACAGATTTAAATATTTCCAAGTGTTTGTTTTATTTGGTGGTAATATTAATCTTGTTGGTAGCTAGACTGTAGACAAGTTTGCAGATGGTGAACCTCTGTAGTCCTTTGTGGTTTGCATTGCTAGAGGCTGCAGTATTTTGATATCAGAATGCACTAACACATTATAGACCACAGTTTTGATTTGCTGATTTGTAATCAATTCCTGTATTTCGCTTAATAAAAAGCATTTTTGAAATAAAATGCAGAATATATTTTAAGAGATGTTGTATAAAAGTTTAATGTTAGGAAATTACACTAGATTTCTTTCTCTTAAAACAGTAAAAAGGTGCATAGATGTATGCTTCTTTACTGCTGTAGATGCGTGTGTGTGTGTGTGTGTGTGTGTGTGTGTGTGTCTGTGCATGTTTAATCCTTTTGAAAGACTTTGTGATTATTGTGGACCACTGACAAATGCTGCAGTTATGTATTTTTCCTTTTAAATCAATCAAAATTGAAAGAAAAATAGAAAAATGTTCACTGATTGTAACAAGTGAATTCAAGTTGCCACAGATTTAAAGTTTTGCCAGGGAACAATGATGTGGCTGTCAGCAGTTGTCGTGGGAAGGTTCCTATGTGTGTAAATTGGATGATGTCTTTTCATTCTCTTCTCTTCTCCAGTGAGCTTGGCCAGTGAACAAAGTATAAATGCACAAGTGTTATACGGGAAAATATATTGTAGCTTGCTATAATTTAAAACTGAAAAAAAAAAGCTTTCTGATGATTTCAAATGAAGCACTGAAACCAATACACAATTAACATTCTCATTTCAAGGTGACTATACTGTCCCAATCTCGTGAAATTAAGATAAACACTATGTAAACAGAGTGCAATTAATGTGGCACTGAAGGCTCACCTGCAGGAGTCGGGGTTATCAGTGGGAGCGATGTGTTCATTTTGTTGAAATGGTCCTCATCCACTCTAGACTACAGCTTCATTTTTATCCACTTCCAAGAATTGTGCTTTAAACCATACTTAGTACATTCTTCAGACATAGCTTAAAAGCAACAAACAAACAATCAAAAACGCAATAATGAGTAACCAGAGAACACCATAGAGAAGTTACCACTTAAAACTATCTTCCATTAGATGGTGTAGTCTTTCAGTATAACAGAGTCACACAATTCCTTTATGAGATCGGAGAGTGCTGGCGTCCTGTTCAGACAGACAGACAGACAGACAGCTTGGTTTAACAGATGAAAAGCATATAATGCACGTAAGTGATCTTCCTAAGTGGCAATAACAACACATGTGTGTGTGTGCATGATGAAGCTGTGACTTCAGTGTCTGTTTTTACTCTGCATCTTAATCTTAGCATTTCCAAAATCTGAAATTTTGACCAATACTTAGTGGTATGAAAAAAATCTAAACCATCTTGATTATCTCCTTGTCCAAAATGACTTGTAGATTTAGATACTATCCACTGTCCAAATTATGTGAATATCAGCCTGCATTTGATCAATCATCCTCTTTGGTAGATTGGTTTGTTGAAAACTGTTTAATAAGTTCATGGTCCTTGGTTCCAGGAAAAACAATTCTAAGTAAAGCACTTTGTATGAGTTTTGTGAAATCTACCAGAGATTGCATGAGTCATCAAATATTCCCACCTGATAGAAGAATGAATTGGACACATTCTGCATCAATGTTCGTCCAGCTGATGTTTGCTTTTCAAACTCACATATCAGCTAAATGAGATGCCTTCAATATATTCTTCAGTTCTTCAATGTCTGAATGATAGAGTGATAACCAGGAGGAAAAAGTTCAGAAATCAAGTGTCGGTGCATTATGGGTGTGTGTGGGTGAACACATTTATGTATCTCAGAAAGAAAATCAAATGAAAATAGAAGGAATATGTCATAGCTTGAATATAACATAGTAAGAAGTCTTGGATTTTAGTTTATCAGTAGTTTTTCTGGACTTTGTTTTTGAAGATTTGCAAGTGACAATAACTTGGATTCAAAATTATAGTGCTTCTTTAGTGTAATCATTAAAAATCCTTTTGCATTTTTAACATCATGCATGCTTATGTTTTTATAAAAAAAATACATGATTGCGCTTTAAAAAGTCAAACAGCTTACCAGATCTTACCAGGAGGAAGAGCTCTCCGTTGCCCTTCATCTCCATCAGTTTCCATACTTCAGCTCGTCTCTTCTTAGCTGCTTCCATGGTTGTCCGTAATGAGATGTTGCAGTTGGGTTCCCTGGAAAGCACACTTTGAAAGGAAAGTGACATTAAGAAGTGTGGAAGGGAGTGCTGTAGAGCTTTGTGTGAGAAAGGATAATGAAGCAAGTGGGGACTCGGGCTGCAGTGCCTCATGACAAGTGCCAGCTGATTCTGCTGGAGTGACTGTAGAGATCTTCTGAGTCAAAGGGAAGGGCTCAATGTTTATATTCCTCATAGACCAAGCAGTGGACACTGGCTACCTGGTAACTGAGACAACTGGCTCTGTCCAAGCTCATGCAGTTCCTAAAAACTGAGACCACGCCTGCCTGAGAACTAGAGAGGATAAATAGTTAAGTCCTGAAACAGGTCTGGTTGGCACAGAACAGGGACTCTGAAGGTGCCTGTGTCTGCTCAGTTCTAACTGCTCCATGTGTGTTTTGAGAGCAGATCCGCTGGGCCTCTAGAGAGCCACTTCTTGGGGACATAAATGAGGAGGAAGGTGGAATAAACCACAGATTCTGCCCTACAGATGCGTTTTTGGTGCTTATCCTCTCCCTCCAGTACCATCCAATCTGGGTTCCCATAGCTCAGCTGACCACACTATGAAGAGCTTGAATCTTTGTTTATCTTCTCTAAGCTTCTCAGGTTGGAACTAGTGTACTTTTTATTTGCTATTAAAATTGGCCAAATAATTATCTATGCCCCAAACACATGCCGCTTGGCCCCACAGTGTAATAGTAGCTCTTTCACTTATTGTTGATAGGAGACAAGTTCCCCAGACAGAACCTCTTGTGAATCAGTGCCTTACACAGGGTTTCACATTACAGCAGAGAGTGAACGAGATGACACGTTACTAGGAGATGTGCTGGTGCCAGCAGGGTGTCTCTGCTCACCCTCCCTGGGTAGTGTCAGCTTTTGCATTGCAGGCAGCAAAGACAACTCATTCCAGAAAGAAGTGATGATTTGAACCAAGACCAATCTCTATCTTTCAGAGCAGAAGGGATCTCATATGGTCAACTTGCCACAAAATTTATCTGCCTGTAAAGGAAACCATTTTGGAGAATGAATGCTGGCCTCTGTTGCTGACCATTTGGAAGTGGTAGTAGCTAGATCGGTCCTGTTGGGGGGGAAGCCTGTGCTACTTGAAACCACACATAGATTCCGCTCCTGCCTCCATCACTACTCTGTTGTGTCCATTGTATGAGCGACTTGGTGACCAGTAACTGAGAATGGTTGGTACCAGCTGTCCACATCATTCTGTCTGCTTGGTTATCTAGGAATATTTCCAGGTTAGCAGAGGCTGGAAAAAATTCTTTATGTTTCATGCCTTCTTCCATATCCAACTACAAGCTCTTCAAAGCTTCTTATCTTTGATCTTCCAAATCTTCTACATTTTGACAATTAGTCAAAAATTCATGGACCCAAAGAGTCCATATAAATTATAATCTTGTAGCATTTCTCATACAAAGTGAATGAGCAGAGAAACCACCCAAGAATGTTCATTGCGTGTGTGTTTGGAGGGCTGGGCATCCACACTGTGATGCCACCCTGTTTAGTGCAACCTTCCACTTGCAGCTTGTTCCGTCATTCTGAGCCCAAGACATCCAACACAAGTTTAGAATTTCCCCTGCTGCAGAAGTTGGTAATAAGGGACCCTTCATGAAGCCCTGGGTGTGCGCTGAGGGAAAAGCCCTGGTAGGACAATGGTGGAGAGCCCCAGGGTGCAGCCTGTGCTTTGTGTGCAGCTCGTGCTCTGCTGGGTCTCACATGCACCATTTCCACTTTGTGCTGCTTTCTGCTGGGCCCAGTGAACTCCATGCCTTGCTGGGTTTGACAGAACCCTGCCCATTCCGGGTGACTCTGCTCACACTTAGTGTTCCATAGTGAGGGTCTTCATTTCTAGGTGGGCTCAGTAACATGCCAGGAGCCTTTTTAGGAAGCAGTGGATTTCTCTGCTGAGGATGAAATAAATGGCTTCTTCAAAGCAGATTTCCAATGAGCTAGACTTGGTAAAGGATATATTTTTAGATCAATAACCACATACAACTTTCGGGACCCTAGACCACATAAATACACTCTTGAGAAGTGCTGTCTGGCACAACAGCTGTGATTGGGACTTGTGTTTGTTTGATACTGTGCTGTTTGCTTTCCTTCTCAGCATTGTTTGGATCCTTCAGGAGCCTCATCAATGAATTAACTGGAGATGCTATAGAGACCCCTGCTTGCTTCACCCATTCAGGGTAGCACTAGTCTGTGTTCTCTCTCCCTAGCACAGATGTTTTATTTTGGCCAGTGGGGCAGCAGTGGGATTACTGTTAGAGAATTCCTCTAGGGCTGTCTTTGTGTGACAGGTCTTCTTACCCAGCGTTATTAGCTAACCAGGGGAAGTAGGGAAGGAGCAACCCTGGGGGTGTCTATTTCAGTTGTACTTTTGAAATGACTACAGCTGTGTCCACTGGCTGAGTCTGAGACAGAACCCCACTTACTTTCAATATAACTTTACTCTTAATTTTTTTTTTTGTGGGGGGGAGCTCTTGCTGGCTCAGCCAGTGTCCAGGGCCCTCCCCTTTCTCCACACAGTGTACAGTTCTTATGTGGCTCTAATTCTCTTTGGCAAGCACTAGAGAATCAGTCATATATTTACTTCCTATGTTGGTACATCATCTTTCTTCCTACAATTTAGGCCATAAGCTTCAGTCAGTAGATTCTAGGTTTGAAAATTGGCTTGTGTTCAGAAACAATGAATTGTGATTTAAAAAAAAAAAAAAAAGAAAAAGAAAAATACTCCAGAAAATTTGAAACTATAACATGTTATTACAGTTTAATCCCCAGGCCACATAGATTCACCAATTGTTCTAATAATGTCTATTGCAGCAAAAATGATCTAGTTCAGAATTTCACGTTGTATTCTGTTGTCACATGTTTGTAGTTTTCCTTGGTTAAAAATAGTTCCTCAGACTTGCATAATTGTGATGCCCTTGCATGATTGTGAAGATCACAGACCACTTATGTAAGCAAGGCATACATTGAAGACCTTGGGGATTACTTTTCAGGTGCCAAACGCCAAGGTCGGATTTTCTTTTGGGCAAAGTTAATTTTTATTATGTACCATTTTATTTCTTCTTTCTTCATAGAACTTTTTTTTTTTTTAATCTCCAGAGTTTAAATTTCTTTCTGGCTTTGTCTATTTTCCATTTTGGGCTACAGCTTGAAAAATTTTTCTCAACTTTATTCTCATAATGCTTGCAACATTTTAATTTCAGATTTTGTATTTATAAAATTTGTATAAACGTAGTTTTCAGTGTCTTGATTTATTTCACCTATATACAAATTTATATCATCTGTTATTATATCATGTATAGCTTTTTGAAAATCTATTTTTCTCACTATGTAGCCTCTTTCCCCTGAATTTTCTTTTTTAAGGGGAAGTATTTACTTTTGTTTTGTTTTACATGTCTTTCATGGCAAAGACTCCTCAAATGCCAGATTATCTTTGGCTGTCATCTGGATATGAAGTGATGAAACACTTGATTAGAAGTTGTATATTAATGAGGCTTTCTGAAACTGACCTCCTTAGGAAGAGTTTCAAACTCTCAAACTCTAAGAGGGCAAGAAGGTTCTTATAATTCTGCTTATGGACTCTTACTTAATTCCCCCTTTATTATTTTTCTATTGTTTCTGTAACAAATTATGACAACATACTGGCTTAACACTACAAATCCACCACCTTTCACTCCTGTACTTTAGAATTCCAAAGTGTGTCTCACTGGGCTAAGATCAAGGTGTCTGCAGGCTTGTGTTCCCTTGTGGAAACTCATCAGTTCCTTGTCTTTTCAACGTCTATTCATTGCCCGTATTCCTCGGTTCCTGGTTCCCTTCCTTGAATTTCAAAGTCAGGAAAAGCGGGCCAAGTCCTCATGCCATGCCAGTCTGACCTCTAAGGCCTCCCTTTCCCCTTTAAGGAGTTTAAAGACTACACTGAGCCTCTAGTCAAGGCAATCCAGTAATCCATGGTAACCTCCCTGTTTCAACGCCAACTAACTGGTGTATTTCATTTCATCTCCACCTAGATTCCCTTTGCCATTTCCTAAGGCAACAGATTCACAGGAGTCAGGGACCAGGAAGTAGCCAGCTTTGGAGGACACAGCTCTGGGTGTTTTATCCCCATTTTCTGTCACTTGCTTCATCTAGCTGGGCCTGATGTACCCCAGCTCCTTTCTGTTTGATCTTTCCAGAAGGAGATCTGTGCTCTGGTGTTTCTTTCTACTTCTGTGTGTGAAATCCTGATGAAGTCACTGCCTGTTTCTGGATTTCCTAGTCAGGGTGTAATGTGCAGCCCATTTCTTTACATCATTCACCCTCAAATAGTCAGTGAATCTGCCAGAACGGATCTGGGCTCCTGCCATGGCTCTGGCTTCCTGCCTGCTCTTCCTTCTTTCCCCTGAGAAAAGACTGGAAAGTCTCATCCTTGACTTGCTCTGTGCTTTCCTATTACCTCTCTCTGAAAATTAGGAGCTCCAACAATTATTTTTTGAAAAGCCATTGAATTATGCATTTCTATTTTATCAAGCCAGGAACTAGCAAATCTAATTCGTATCATAATTCTTTGTATCATGCCAGACTAACTTGTGTTCACTCTTAATGAAATGATTCCCCTATTTCGGGTGTTGAAACTAGACATTACTTTATGCCTGTTAAACCAACATGTATATTTCTAAGCTGTGCATGTGATCAACTTTCTGGTAAATTATGTTTCTGTTGGAGGAATTCATGTTTTCTTTCAAAATAAAGTGTTATAAATGATTCGAATTTCTTTACATTTTCAACAGGAACAAAATTAATTTTTTAATTGAACAGTGAAATGACCTTTTCTTCAAAATACATATTAAAAGAAGATAGTTACAAATGACAGTGAGGATTGAGAAAGACTTTGAATTTTTTTTTTTTCATTTGCTGAATGGATTTGGCCAACTTTTCTGAGTAGAAATTTATAGCACTTGATAAATGATTGGAAAGCACTATCTCTTCAAATGAGATTGTAGCTATTTG